AGATAGAGAGAAGACGGATGGAGAGATGGAATGAATTCTAGGGTTTGGTTTGGGATGAAAATTTTATAATTAATATTTAATTAAATATGAAATATCTGATTTTTGTAAAGTTAAACTTGTGATCTGATTTTTGAAGATGGATTTTGAAATGTAGTGTTTTGTGTAATTTTCACTTTTATTTATAAGTAGGACCATAAATGGATCGGATATGAATTGAATATGTCAATATCGGATTCGATCCAATTCGATATGAATAATTAGTCGATCCGATAATTCAAAGAATATTTGATTGTTAAATACATATTTAGTTTGTTGTATTATTGGATATTCATTCCGATAATTCGATCCGAAATTGAAGAAATTAGGAAGATAAAAAATTTATACTACTCAATTTCTGAGCTCTATAATTAAAAGGCCCAGATTCTTGGCACACCTATATATATTGCAAATCTGGTGATATTCTAGTGAGTGTTTGATGTGGGAAGTGGGGAATTGAGAACAATGAAAACAACTCAACTATTGGCCCCCTCTGACTTTTTAATTTATAAAATAAATTAATTATTATTTTTATCTCTTGATCAGGTTATCGGATTAAGACCATAAATTCATCTTTCATTAATTTTATCGGATTCTGATCAAAATTCAATTCATTATTCGGATCTTGATCAGGTTATCGGATTAAGACCATAAATTCATCTTTCATTAATTTCATCGGATTCTGATCAAAATTCAATTTAATGATAGCTCTATTTATAAGCCTTTGTTTGACAATCATTATTTAGGAAAAATAGAGTTTTGAATTTTTAAAAGAACGCATCGTTAAAATGTAGGAAATTTTTTTGGGATTTATGTGTATAATATTTTATTGTGTGAATGTATAGTTGGAAAATGAGTGTGTAGGAAAAAGAGTTTGAAAATAATAGTTGTCAAACGTAGGCCAAATTGCTCATAAAGATTCGAGTCACTTTTTATCCACATATTTTGAGGTATTCATGAGTATTGCTCATTTATACATCATTGTTTCTATTTATTTATAATTTAAACGGTTTTTATAGACTTCCTAAACATTACAATTATCAATTTGGTGACAATTAAGTAGTAGTAATTGATACGTAAGGATATAAGTCTTATTTAAGATGACGTATTAATAAATGTTACTTAAATATCATCGAAGTTTATGATGGTCATTAATCTAGATAAATAATATTACTCAAAATAAAAAGCTTGCCCGAGAGAGAGCACACCCAAATGTGCATTGAATGTGTTAGTTTTGCACAGAAAGAGGGTGACTCCCAACGAAGAGTACAAAGAGACGGTTAGAACATCTCCAATAGTAGTGTAAAACTGGGTGTCTAAATTCAAAATTTACTTCAATGGAAAAATCTAAATCCGATTTCTGCTTCTTTGTGGATGCCGAAAAATGCAATTTACATTTCCTTTGCGTCTCTCCATTAAAGAGATTTTCGACCACTTTGAAGATTTAAATCACAATTCAGAGCTATTTTTCATCACGATTAGAGATGTTCTTAGGCTTTAAAGAACCAAATTAAGACTAGAGAAACTAGAAGAAAGTGTAAATGCGTGTAGGAAGAAGTTGAAAGAACAAGGAAAATCTTATAATTGACATTTTTAGATAACTTCGATTACCATTTGTGAAATTAACCCTCCGTTCAAGTGATATTTCCCAACTCAATGCGACAATCCGATTTTATGTCACTAGTTTAGACCCTCCATAAGACGTTTAGTACCCATTAAAATATTCCAAATCCACAAATGTACGAAACGAATCATAAAATTTATCCCACTAAGAATAAAGGCACAAATTAATACGTTC